AAAAAAAAAAAAAAAACTCTAGTCCCAGTTGGAGAATCCAGATAAGCTCTTCAGCAAACAGGAGCAATATGAGAGCCCTGGGAATCCCAGGAGTACGGGAGGAAGATGGAAAAAGGACAGGAAGGAACTAACCCTTCCTTCTACATTACAGTTCTCCTCATTCATGGCATGGGCTGTACGTTGTAAAGGATAACAAATCCTAAGAAGAGCATAGTGACAAATGAAAGAATTTTATTAAATCTACTTGTATCCAAAACTTAAACTCCTATGGGAAACAACAGTCTAGCAACAAAGGAAAACAGCATTGAACTACTTGTAAAACCCTCTCCTTAGAAAAGTCTCAATTGGGCTCGGGATGTGGCTCAAGTGGTAGCGTGCTCACCTGGCATGCGTGAGGCACTGGGTTTGATCCTCAGCACCACATAAAAGAAAATAAAGATATTGTGTCCACCTAAAACTAAAAAATAAATGTTTTTTTAAAAGTCTACAATATACTAAGATGTTATTTGAGATACCAGCCTCAAGCTTATTCTCTTGACGCTTCTTATATTTCCTGTAACTATATTTCCACTAAAAAAAAAAAAAAATGTAGTTCTATTCCATTAAAATGTTGAAGAAATATACATCCCAAAATGCTATTTTAGTGCACTACAATTGCCTCCTTTGATTTCAGGGCAGAGAGAGTTCTTAGGGAATAACAAATGTGGAAACCAGATCAACTTCAAAGCCTTTTTATCAGTAAGGAGACAAAAAACAAATAATAGTGAGCCAACATGAGTGTGTGGTAGCAGAAGGCAAAGGAACATGAAACACAATATGGTAACTGTGATCACAACAGAAGATAATGAGTCTAAGGGTTAATTAATATCACTTGACCATAAACATTCCCCAGAAAAACAGAGAGAGATTCCAGGCCCCACTCTAGGTTACTTACTGAATCAAAATCTGGAGGGAGGCAACTAAAACCTTCATTTTTAGCAAGTGCCCAAGAAAATCTTACAATTAAGCCAAGTTCAGAAAACAGTTTTAGTCCAACTAAAAGGCCCAGTTCATGCATTCATTTCAAATTGCACCTCATACCCACTCCAACCAGGCTGGACTACATGCAATCACCCAGCGGTGCCACGGCCTCTCCTCTTTGGGCCTTTGCAAGTGCTACTGCCTTAGCCCTTTCTTCACCTCATCAACAGGCTATCAGCCTGGACATCGTTTCTCTCAGGTCCTTCCTGGGCCCCCATGATTCTCCCATCATAGTGTCTAAAAATGGTATGGTTACCTACCTAAGGAGAACTATACCAATTAACCTAATAAGACTAATAAAGAGTACAGAAAAATCAATAAGTTAAAATTGACATACTAAAATCAACCCAACACCTAGATGATACACCTAAGTGACTGGCACCCACAGAAGGTAATTACACTGGAGTGTCAATTGATATTACTGGGAATGAGGAAATGGGGCTTCCAACAATGGGTACAGTGGCCACCAATGCACCCCTTCCTGTGAAGAAAAAGGGGAGGCTCACAAAGCCACACTTAGCAAATAACTCCCAGGCTGACTGAATCCTTGAGTTTGTTACAGAGAATAACTAATATAAGGAGCTGGAGTGATAACATTCACTAAGCAGTAGAACCAATTCTTTGCAAAACTACTTCACAAATCCTCACATTCATTCATTCATATTCTGTCTCCCCCCACCCCCCTGTGCTCATGTTTATTTATATAAGGTGCCTGGGCACTATTTAGTATCAGGAGTCACTGTATCTATTTATTTGGTTTCCTTCATTGTCTGCTTCCCTTTGCTAAATAAAACACGAGCCTCACAACTGAAGTCAGGAACTGTGTTTTCTTCTTCCCTGTCACCTTAGCACCCAGAACAGTACCTGGAACATAGTGCATTCTCAATAAATGGGCCAAAATTGACTGGGAAAGACCCCTTGCAGGGCAAGCAGGAGATATTTGCCAGATGAAGTTCAGGCAACAGTATTAACAAAGGCACAAAGGCATGGAGCGGCATGATCCAGCCACAGAAAAGTCAGTAAGCATTGCTGGGAAACGATGTGATGTGCAGTGCTCAAGTCTGGATCTCAAATGTGTCCCAAAGGTCCATGTAATAAAAACATGGTCCCCAGCTTGCCACTCCTGGGAGGCCATGGAACTAGAGGTGAGGCCTAGGGGAAGGTCTTCCAGTTGCTGCAGGTATGCCCTCAAGGGGAGAGTGGGGCCTCAGCCTCTTCCTGTTTCTCTTCTGAATCCCAGTCCTGGATAAGCAGCTTTTCTCCACCATAGGGTCCCCACTATAAGGTGCTGCCTTGCCCCAGACCCAAAAGGAATGAGCAATAGACTAAAGCCTCTAAAACTGAAAACCAAAATAAATATTTTCTCTTTAAAAACTGATTATTCTGGGGTATGTATTACAGTAATGAAAAGCTGACTAACACATAAGGCATGTGAAAGAAACTGGGAACTTGTGAACTGAGCAAAAGAGAGAACTAAGACATGTTTTGGAGCTAGGACTTTCTCATAAAGGTGATAAAAAGTAACCAAAGGGATTGAAGCAAAGAAGTGGCACAAACTTATACAGTTCAACCTTGCACACATAAATAGCAAACTTGAGAGTCAAGTCTGGAAGAAGCTATAAGAAACACATTGCTTCTATTCAGAAAAGCAATAATGACAAAAAATAAATGTAGTAAACACAATTAAACACATTCACTGTTTACTACTCACTATTGCTTGGGCACTGTGAAAAGTGATTTATCCTCATTGTCCCACTTAATCTTCAAAATTCTATAGAGTCAGTACTATTCCATTTCATGGATAAGGAAACTGAGACAGAGACAGATTAAATAACTTGCCTAAGGTTATATAGTAGGTAAGAAAAACAATACCCTAGCCAAGCAGCCTAACTGCAGAGCCTGGACTCAAAGCTTCTGTGGTTTGAGCAACAGACAGATTCAAGACTCAGTTATAACCAGGCACAGTGGCACGCACCTGTGATTCCAGCTACTTGGAAATCTAAAGCAGAGGACTGCAACTTAGAGGCCAGCCTCCACAGCTTAGCAAGACCTGCCTCAAAATAAAAAAGGGCTGGGATGTAGCTCAGTGATAAAGCACCTGTGGATTCAGTCCCCAGTACGTACAAACAAACAAACACACACACACACACACACACACACACACACAAAGACTAACTTATAAGGTAAAATTCAGCTGTACTCTATGATTCCTTTGGAGGCAGAAGGTGAGGTGACAAAAAATACCTGGCTTGAATGACAAACAATTAGACTCAAACTATAAAAGTCCTTGAAGACCACCCAGGCACAGCAAATGGTAAAAATTTCTTCTCCACCATATCTAACAAGAATCACCTAGCCTGTGGTTGACAGGACAACATGGATATAGGTTGAGCCCAGCTTTACCTCCTGCAACCATATTTCCACTGAACTAAAATATGTACAGTTGAAAGATCTTCTGGGACCTTATCCATTGATTTTATACTGTGATACACAGAATTCTAGAATTCTCCCAAGTGCTTCAGGGCTATTTTAGGCTGTAATTCTGCCTCCCCTCTCCTGCTTTAACCATGCAGTACCAATTTTGTAATATGTTGATAGTCCTTTTAAGATTTCATTTGAAAAAGAGTAAAAAAAATATTTTTAGGGCTTCATACTCACTGGTCCAGACCAATAATCCCATACCATGGCAAAGGAATCTGAGTTGGTCGTGGTCACAAAGACAAGTCGTCACACAGCAAAATAATCTTTCAAATACTAAGAACAGTCCCTTGCTCTCTGAAATCTTTCATTTTTGTTGTTTTTTATATAAAAATATACTTTTTTCACAGATTTTGAATTGGAAAGTACAGTTCATTCATTTCAGTTTTCCCATCAGCTCTAGCTACTAATCTAACACTATTACCCTGACTCTCTACCTTAGGGTTGATATCTAGTGGAAGATAATTTACATAATGTATTAATCATTAACTACTTACCACCATCTACAAGCTCATGGTAACAACAAAGTTACAGCAAGAGGTCTAAACTAACTGGTGCGACTTAAGATCACAGGTATTCCAGGTGACATTAATATTTATGACAGTACTTACGAAAGCAACTCAAATCAATTTAATTAAAATGTAAGTTCTGGCTTGGAGTCCTCCAACTCCCATTCTTCCATTTCTACAGCTTGTGACATAAATCTTCTGATTAAAGCTATGACTGATCATGAGAGGAAAAAAAAAAGACTCAACACTTAGGAGGACTGGAGACTCACGCATTTCTATGAACAGCTGCCTCTTCTCTGCCACGGTCTTCCGCTTGTTCCCACCTTCCTCAATCATCCTAGAAACAAAGAAAGACACAATAAGCCACTGTATAATTGAATAATTAGAACAAGTGCACATCATTCTGTTGTGAAGAGTTACAGGAAACCAGGTTGAATGTGCACATTTTAAGACCAAATCAATAAAAATAAAGTGGGAGCCTGATGTATGAAAAGATAAACCATTGTCACTTTATTTGAGAACTTCTAAAATATTAAACAGCCAATACTTAAATCAGTTTATAAACATGATGAAAATATGGGGTTATGCCTTATTTCTAACTTAACTATTTTCTCTGTAGAGTCCTGCATCAGCTGAGACATTGTGTCCCATATCACCACAGTTTTGCATAAACATGTTACTAAATATAATTTAGAAAATAATATAATGAAAGGCTATAATAAAGAACATAACAGTCCATCTATACTTAAAAGACATACATGAAAACATTGTTTGTATGTTAAACAATATTAAACAAAAAAGGTATTCATTCCCAAACCCAAAGAGCTCCTAAATATAACTTTTCTATTACATAATAATAGCAGTTTATGTTGACAGATTCAGGCTATGCCAGACATTTGTTAAAACTCTTTACATGCATTGAGCTACGCAAGTTGGTGCATGACTGTGGTCCCAGCTACTCAGGAGGCTGAGATGGGAGGATCACTTGAGCCCAAGAATTGGAAGTTAACCTAGGCAACACAGTGAGACTCAACCTCAAAACAAACAACAACAACAAAAAAAAACCTCTGTGACATTTACTCCAGTCTGTGGTTGACTGAGCTACATCCCCATCCCTTTTAATTCTTTATTTTGAGACACAGCCTAAGTTGTCCAGGATGGTCTTGTGATCCTCCTGCCTCTGACTTCTGAGTAGCTGGGATTACAGGCATGCACTACTGCACTCAGCTGCAAATGAAAGTTTTATTGGAACGCAGTCACAATAATCCATTTCTATATGGTCTAAGGCTGATTTCATGATGCAACAGCAGACTGGAGTAAAATGTCACAGAGAGCATTTGTGTCACAGAGAACATCTGGCCTTCCAAGTCTAAAATACCATTGTCTGTCCTTTTACAAAAAAAAAAAAAGTTTGCCAACCTGACCTACAGCAATAATAATTAACACCGAATTACTGCACATCTGGCTATAATTAAGTTACTATATCTCCACTGTCACAATGACAACAATCATCCCACAATGCTCCCGCAAAGTAAGATTCACTCCTCACTGCTAAAAGAGCATTCGAACTATTCAAACTCCACTAACCATTCACTGGACAAATATTTATTAAGTAGTTCTTATGTGGCATTTGTATGAATGAAAGACAAAGTCCTCACCTGCATGGAATTTGCATTCATGTGAGAGGATTAAATAAAGTAATTCATTAGACAACACCTGGCCTAAACAGGCACAGGTTGAAGGCTAGTTGCTATTATTATTACAATTATTATTACCACTACACAGGTAATTTATAAATCTAGTGTGGGAGCATCTCATAATGAGAAATGAAATTTGATTCTTTTTTTTTTGAGAATTTTTTTCTTTTAAGAGAGTGTGAGAGAGGAGAGTGAGAGAGAGAGAATTTTTAACATTTATTTTTCAGTTCTCGGCGGACACAACATCTTTGTTGGTATGTGATACTGAGGATCGAACCCGGGCCGCACGCATGCCAGGCGAGCGCGCTACCGCTTGAGCCACATCCCCAGCCCGAAATTTGATTCTTTTAAGAAAGTTTTTGGCTTCTAAAACTAATAAAGTAGAAAATAGACACTTCTGAAATTTACTTATCTGAATTGACAAAATATATCTTTAAGTCACACAGACAATTATCACAAACCTGAATCAAATAACACATAAAAATATCCATCAAAGGGATACCATATGAAATGGTCATATCACATCTATAAGGAACAAATATTGTTAAAAACACCTGTTCTATTGCCTAGTGTGCTTGAGGCCCTAGGTTTGATCCCCAGCATGCAAAAACAAACAAACATCTGTTACATAAACTGGGCTTTAATTTTGTTACTGTTTTGAAACTACCTAGTTGAAAAATTACAAATTCAACTAAGTATATGCTCTCAGCTGAGGCAGGCAGGAAGAAGACACAGAGGGAAGAGTAGGGGGAGGGGAAAGGAAGAGGGAACACTCCTTCAAGATGGGCAATTACACCCCAGTCCCTTCTGCAGGAGAAGAAAGCAAACTGCACTTCACCACTGAGTCCCAGTTCCCTCTGGCCTCCAAGGTAAACACCCCCAGGCTGTGTAATGATAAGTGCTTTTCTTTCTTCAAAAAGAGGCCCTGAACAAAAGCCAACTGCTGGGCCTGATGATCAACTTCAGAAGTAACCATTTCCAACAGGAAGAAAAAACCTGGCCATGCTGGACTTACCGACAGAACTCTAGGTTAACCTCCACCATGATATCTTTGTTAAGAAAATTTCAAAAAAGTATTTTCATGCATATTAGATTTTCCTCTTACTGATTTCAGAAAAAAATAACTCCAAGTAAGAGTTGACTCTATGAAAAATAATTAAACACTATTCAACTACAGAGATACTCTTGATACTCCCACTTTAGAAACAAGGCAACAAATGTTTTAATTACTTTAGGAAATTATACTCTTGTGATGATTTTCTGTATGGTATGTAAAACTATTCATAGTATTTAAAAATCCTCAGGCTGGGGTTGTGGCTCAGCTCTTCTAGGTAGAGTGCTCTTCTAACTCGTGCAACACTCTGGGTTCAATCCTCAGCACCACATAAAAATAAATAAAAAAATAAAGGTTTTGTGTCCAATAACTAAAAATAAATATTTTTTTAAAAATCCACTAAATTTGGCCTATAACGTAAAACTACAATTAGTTCTTTTAAAAATAATTATTAAGGGCTGCAGCTGTAGCTCAGCGGTAGAGCGCTTGCCTAGCATGTTGAGGCCCTGGGTTTGATCCTCAGCACCACATAAAAATAAGTAAATAAAATAAAGGTACTGTGTCCAACTACAACTAAAAAATAAATATAAATAATAATTATTAGTAGTAGTAGTAGTATTACTATTACTATTATTATTATTAAACTGGGTAGTCCCAGCTCTTGGGAGGCTGAGGGAAAATCATTTGAGTTCAGAAGTTCCAGATCAGCCTAGGCAACATGGTGAGATCCCATCTCAAAAAAGGAGGAAGGGAGGAGGGAGGAGGGAGGAGGGAGGAGGGAGGAGGGAGGAGGGAGGAGGGAGGAGGGAAGAAACAAACCAACCAAACTGCTTATGATGTATCATGTGGCAGAATTAAAACACCAAATTTTACTTATAGTTCAATTACTTAACAGTTACATGTGTATATAAACAAAGATGAGAAGTAAATTTCAAAATAAAACCACATTTGTAGCTGAGTGCTGTGTGCACACCAGTAATTCCAGCAACCCTGGATACTGAGGCAGGAGGATTGCCAAATTCAAGGTCAGCCTCAGCAATTTAGCGAGGCCCTAAGCAACTTAGCAAGACCCTGTCTTAAAATTTAAAAAGGGCTGGGGATATGGCTCAGTGGTAAGAGCCCTGGGTTCAGTTCCTAACACACACACACACACACACACACACACACACACACACACACACAATTTGTAGCCCACAGTGATGGTACACACCACCACTAAGGCTGAGGCAGAAGAATCACAAGTTCAAGGCCAGCCTTGGCAACTTCATGAGACCCTGTCTCTAAATAAAATTCAAAAAGTGCTGCAGATGCAACTCAGGCCTAGCATACACAATGGCCTGGGTTCAATCCCCACTACTGTAAAAAAAAAATAAAATCATATAATAATAAAACAATGCTACTAATAATAAAAAATAAAACATTAATAATAATAATACATTTGTAAGGTGTGCTTGTTTTTCCCCCTTAAGATTTAATTTGGTGCTGTGTTGCTTGGCAATCTTTAGAAAATTAAGTATATTTTATGTTTGTATTTACATTAGTTTTTAAATGTTTAAATGAATGCTTGGAGGCAAAAAGAAAACAGACACTCAAATTGTCAGTGCATGTATACTGACACAGCATTTTGAAAGGTAATAGCTACTAAATTTTTAAATGTACACTAACTTTATCCCAGTAAAAATGTGTAAAGATATATTTATTTGCTTTAAAAAAAGGAAAGATAAAGAGAGGAGGAAAAGGAAGAAGAAGAGAAAAGGGAAGGAAAAGGTCGAAAAGGAGGAAAGGAAAAAAGGAAAATTCCTTATGAAGCTGTTTAAGTAACTCAGGATATACAATGAAATCACATAGTTCACAGACACTGAAGAGAATGCAAAAGGCAAGGTGAGCAAATCCCACTTGTGAATCTTGAAACAGCTCAGTCAAGGCAGAATGAGGGGCTAGGGCTGGGGTTGTGGCTCAGTGGTAGAGCACTTGCCTGGCATGTGTGAGACACTGAGCTCGATTCTCAGCACCGCATATAAATAAATAAAATAAAGGTCCATCAACAACTAAAAAAAATTATAAATAAATAAATAAAAGGGCAGAAGAACCCTGACAACACAGCAGATGCTACCCTACCAGTCCAGGTTCCCTTTCACTGTTCTGGCCTGAACCAGACCCCAGTGGCTGAGGCTATCTTCCCACAGCTGCTGCTTCTCTAGAAAACTGCCCTCCACTGACTGAATGTTCCTTAACAAAGAAAGGCCTGGAAAGCTAACCCCTCCCATGGGGGGGAAACAGGCAGCTGCAGCAGATCTGAGGCTGATCTGAGGCAGAAACACTCATCTCCAGCAAGTTTGGATCCTGGTAAGATGGGGTGAACACATACAATCTTATCCACTAAATATAACTATAAAATCTGCATAGAATACATGATGGACTTAATCAAGATCTACTAATTTGCCTTTTTTCTCTCTTGAATCCCCAGACCTAAAGTCAATACAGCCAGGACCCCCAAACAGTACTGTGGTACAAACAGAAAAAGTCCAAGAGAAAACCCTTTGGTTCTGCTCAAAGGGAAGAAAAGAGATATAAAGCACAGAGAGA